TTACAAACTAACACTACTCCTAGGAAAGCAAGTAAAGATATTGAAAGTGCATTACAGGAAAATATAATTTGCTCCGTGGGAGGCTTTTGTTTGGTGTTTGAACCCAGTGAATGTAGCTTGAGCCTTGTATTTATAGAAAGAGTTCTTGAGGAGTAATTGAGGCTAAAAATCTGCATGGTGGGGCCTGATTAGAGCAAGTGGGTAGTCCAATCGACATTTGGGATCGTGAAGTATGGTGGTGTGACCCCATAAATCCCGGTGAATCTCGGCCGCCGCCCTGATGGTGGGTTCTGCGCTTCTGGCCGTGGAGACGCATTTATTGTTTCTGATAGTTGGTGACCCAATCTCTCAAACTGCAAGGATTCTTGTGAGAATGTCTGCGTCTAATCACTCTGATTCCTGTCACCAAACCCTGACTTCAATCACTTCCCACCTTTCCTCGTGCATTAAATGCTTATTCGTGGTCAGTGGGTTTGCTACCATAAACAGAGGCATTGCTTCATTAAATGAAGCGTGGGACCCTGCTGCCACTTGATGATCTGACCTTAGTGCCTTTGGCCGTGATTTTGTTCAGCTTTGGCCTCGGCCTAGAAATGCCGCGTTTTAGCCTCACGAGCAAGTGTTAGGGTCGAGAAAAGGGGCTCCCTCGGTCAGTTCTTGGCCGTGATTTATTAGGCACAAACAAATGCCCAAAACAAATAGGTTACTTCCAGCAGCTTGACGAAAACACGCGAGCCGCTGGAAAAGAGAGTACCAATAACCCAATACCTGTGAACAAAGCCCAGCCCAGATCCTTGTTAAAAATCTGGCATCGTATTCCACCCTTGACAAAGCTCCATAAATAGCCAACAAGAAGCCATTGCAAGAACCAAAGGAAATCCATGTGTGTAGGAAGAATACCCAATGGACAAACGACTCTATCCATTCTCTTTTTTCTCTGCAAACTCTAATTTGAAAACCAAGGGAGAAAGAAGGTGGCGCCTCATCCCTATGAGGAGGTGCAGCCGCATAAAACCTTTGACCCAGGCACTCTGGTTGAAGAGATTTCACAAGAAGGGGGTAATTGGAAAGAAGCAAAGGAAAAATGGGAATGGAGGATCGACGAAATTAGGGTTCCAAATGCCTATAAAAGAGAGCTTCCTCTACCCAGAAAAACACACCATTCCATAGCACGACCAAGCTTTGTCAAGCAAACTGGAATTTACTCTAAACGCCTCTTCCTCCATTTTCTTCTCCCTTTTCTCATTGAAATCCTCCTAATTTTCTTCTTTCCTTACTCTGAACCTTTTCTTCTTTCCTCTGTAAGAAGTCCATGCTCTTCTCTCTCTCTCTCTCTCAAATTGCTAAACTTGTGAAGAATCAGCTCCCATGCCACAAGCTCTTCAAGCCAAGTTCCTTATCAGTTTGTCATGTTTATTTGGTTATTAGTGGAAAGAACCTGAAAGTGTTTTTTTTCAAAGGTTTTAGCAAGCCTTTTTTAAAACTCTTTTGGGAGCCCGGTTCTTGAACTCAGGCATTAGGGGGTTTTGTTCGTTTTCTTCTAACAATAGCCCAAGCCCATTCATCAGGCTGCTGGAACAAAAAGACCCCTACATAAATTGGCGACTTCACTGGGGACCAGGCTGCCATTTTTAGTAATGCCTCCAAAGAAGAAGACTAGGAGCAACACCATGGCCTCCCAAGATGGACCCGAGCACGGTGATTCTGAATTGAGGCAAAATGCCTCTTCTAGAGTGCAAGAACGTGCAAGTGAGGGAGCTTTCACCCTCATAGATCTCATTACAGCTATCCATGCTATGGGGGAAACCTAGAGGGAAATGATGGATACCATCAAAGAACTGAAAAGTTCCGTCTCTAAGCCAAGTGAAGAAAATGGGAGACACCCACAGGAGGAGTCTGCTGCTGCTGGAAAAGAGTCTGAGCAAAAGGGACCATCTTTTGTTACCCAGGAGGATGTCGTTGCCATGCTAGAAAGGGAGCTTAACCAAAGCCAAGAGGATTGCAAGTACATTCCTCAGCCACCATATCCATCGAGCTTACTCCAGCAGCCATATCCTAAAGGCTGCGAGGTACCAAGCTTTGTTCTCTTTGATGGAAGAACGGGGAGCCCAAAGGAGCATGTCAATCACTTCATTGATGCTTTGGGACCACACGCTGGTGATTATAATCTCCAGCTCCAAGAGTTTTCAAAAAGCCTTACCGACCGTGCTTATACGTGGTACACCACTTTGGCACCAAGCTCTGTTTGTTCTTGGGAAGACTTGGCAAGCAGGTTCTGTAAAAAATATTTCTAGCACGAAGAAAGAGTCACTACCACTCAACTCAACAATACTCGTCAAAAGCATGGGGAGGAACCCGTAGACTTCATGTGTAGATTTCAGGACCTAGCCCTAGACTGCTATGATGAGAAGGATGAGGAAGCGCTTGTTGAAATTTGCATCAGCAATATTGTGGCAGATTACAGGGTCTATCTCGAAAATATTGGCATTAGCCAATTTTCTCGGCTGCTGGAAGCAGTAAGAAAAACAAGCATGTCTGTCAAACTAACGGGGCAGAGAACTTGGAGGAACGAGAAGAAGGAGGCGCACCAAACGCTAGCTATAGATGACAAGTCATCCGGTGACTACAACTCACGCAAGCGGAGGGATAGGGAGACATATCCACCATTACCATACAAAGATGAAGAATTCCATGCCATCCTCGATACCATGATTGCTGATGGAGCAATCAAGCCTCTCAGACCTTACAAAGTTCCTACCAGGGAAGAGAAGAATGATCCTAGGTACTGCCGCTATCACCAGTTCATGGGGCATCCAACCACTACTTGCCAAACTCTAAGAAGGATCTTGCATGCTAAAATATATTAGGGAGTTCTTGAGCGTCCCTCTAGGAAGCAGGCCATTGATGAAAACCCCTTGCCAAAACGAAGGGGAAAAGAGATAGTTGTTGTTATCACATGCTCCGATGACTTACTTGACGATGATGAGTTATGCCACCCATAGGAGAATGACCCAAAGCCACCAGAGGCTATTTGGGAACCTTGAGGGAACATGGAAAAAGCATACTGGCGCAAATACTCAAAACCTTCGAGTTACAATGCACCATGGCCACTTGCTGATGGATGGGATGGTAGTACAGATAACGGAGTATTTATGCTTGATCGGTTCATAATTGTATATCATTTTGTACCCTTCTAGCTTATGAATTGTTTATGTTTTTGAGTTAAACTTGTGCTTTTAATCCCTTTTGTGTTTATCTTTCAGTTCATTGAGCTCTTAGGTAGCAATGGTGGATTTGGATAGGAAAATATGCAAAATGGTGCAAAAACAAGCAGACTGAGTTAGCAATTTGTTTTGGCCTTAACTTCCTCCTCCCAACTTGTATTGGCCCAATTAATATGTGGTTGGAAAGAGGAGATTCTGAACTGCGAGATGGATGGCTCAAACGTATCAATTGATGAAGCCAAGCCCAATCCGTGGGCCCATCAAAATGCACACCATGCTCAGGATTGCAGCTGCCAGCTGTTGAGCCTTGTCATCTCCTTTAAGCCATGTGCCTCACCCTAGCTGTAACTGACTTTGGACCCAACATATTGAGCAAAGTAGGGAGGCATTCAAGCTATGAAAGTCTAAAGGAGCAAAAACAAGGCATTGTGGGAAACATGTTTGGATAAATCAAGAAGCACTTTCCAGGCTGCTGGTGGGATTAGTTGGTACATGCTGGAGCTATTAAAGAGAAAGAATGTGCATGCATGTGAAGCAAAAAAGAAAGGAAAGAAAAGAAATGAAGTCAATTACAGTCTATTTTCGGCAGTCAACTTGCAAGGCACAAAACGTACACTTGTACTGCTCAGATGGGAATACATTCTTCATAAAAGTTGTTCTAATGGGTGTCTATTATGACATATCCAAATTTGATCCCCATTGGATACATATTGAAATCTCAGGCCTTCCTAAACCAAGCCTGGTTCAGAAGAATCATTTTTTTTCCCAGCAACCAAAAGATAACCACATGGGTTGGCAGCAAAAGGCAGGCACAGTTGAACACCTTTGAAAACTCATGTGAAGAAAGCTTGAGGTGCAGTAGCAAAAGAAGTATGGGATGGAATTGATTCCAACCACACTAACATGGACAAGATGAAGTGAGAGTTATGGATTGTATTAAAAAAAGAATGATGGTGTTGGAATTCATCATGATGTTCCTCCCTCTTAGCCCTATAAATAGAGAAGTATTCAAGCTTCAAAACACTCCCATCAACCCCATACACTTTAGGTACACAACCTGGGATTCACAATCCCACAAAAATCCTTTCCTTCCATCCTCAAACATCCCCATCAACCCCATACACTCTAGGTACATAGCCTGGGATTCACAACCCCCACACAATTCACTCCAGCCATCCTCCACACTTCCATCATTCCATCAACACATCCAAAAATCATCCTCAAACATTCCCACAACCCCAAACATTCCAGCAATCAACCCAATACTCTAAACTACCCCAAATCACCAAAACAGCTCCAGAAAGCCTGCCTTCCATTTTCCTACGAATTTCCTCTTTCTCAGCCATCACCACTCACCCAAACTCATCCCAAATCACCTACTAGCTGTCATACATCATTCTAGACGTGGGGAAGCTCTTGGAGAAGCATTAGACGTGGAGAAGCACTTGAAGAAGTCTTGGACACCACAAGAACTTCAGAAAAAGGGGTTTTTCTACTCTTATTGCATTCCTTATGTTTTCTCATTTCTATCTAAGTTTCTTTTCTATTATGAGAAGCTAATTTCATAACTAAGGCTTCGATGTAACCTAACATGAATATTCTGGGTTTGTAAGTTTGAAGTTTGGAGTTTCAAGTTGGATTCATGATTCATGTTCTTATTCATTATGCTTATCAGTTAATATGTTTGTTTGAATGATTGATCACCATTAGAACTTGTATGGTTTGAATTAAGAGTAGACCTCATGCTTTAATTTGAATTGAACTATGAATAGGAAGAGTATGTATGGACATTCGACAACAGGGATTAGATACATGCTTGGTTGTTTAAATTGTTCTTCTATGTTTAATGGGTTCCTAATGCTTAATTTTAGGTTAGACAATAAATGATCACATTAGGGAATTAGGAACACAAGGTTAGGACCATACACCATGGCCTAATCATACTTTAGCTAGAATCAATCTTTGAATATGAATTAGACATGTTACTTGACTCCTTATAACCCAGAATTGAATTGTTATGGTGATTCGAATGCCCTAGTCTCCAAATCTGTTTTCCCGCTCTTAAAACCACTCTTTGTTACACTTACTTACTTTGCTTTTGTTTGCAATTTCATTTTGCTTCTTTTGTTCAACAATCACAATCACTCTTGCTTTAATTTCTGTTTAGACATAACCTCCTACTTTCTTGAATTTGGTAATCTAAGTACATAACTAATTTTAACTTCTTAGTCCTCGTGGGTACGACCTCGTACTTGTCTTGCTATACTACTAATTGCCCTGTACAATTGCGAGTTAACATAATATTAACAACAATGCTAGATATGCCGGAACAGCAATGCTTGGGGGCTTCGTCTAGACAACAGGAAACAGCTGCTGTAACATTCCATACTCTTGCGGAGGCTGAAACTACTGTGATGGAGCGTTATCTGGGTCTGAAACAGGGGCCCACAGCCTCGCAGGTCCTCCAAAGGAACCCAAAGTTCAAGTCACTCTTTGACCAACTTGGCTTTGGGCCGCAAGCGAGGGAAGCAGCTGCGGTAGCTCTCATGAACATCTCCACAGAGTCAAATCCTCATTGCTTCGCTGCTCAACCACAAAGGTCATTCTTGGAAAATGACAATGCTATTGTCTTTATGGATAAAGACATGGAGGCCCCATACCCGGATCATCGGAGGCCGCTTTACTTGGAGGGACAGATCAATGATGTGTTCATAAGGAGGGCTTTGGTAGACACGGGTTCTTCTGTCAACATATTGCCTCTGTCTGTGCTTACGGCAGCTGGTATTCCGTTGTCAAAAATTGTGCAATCTCAAACAAGCATCAGCGGTTTTGGGAATAAGAGCGAGGTCACGGTTGGGCACATGCAAGTAAACTTGAAGGTGGGGCCTATCCGGTCACTCACTAAGTTCTATGTGGTAGATGTGGATGTGGCTTACCATGCCTTACTCGGAAGACCATGGCTCAATAAGCACAAACTTGTGGTCTCTACTTACCATCAATGCGTGCAAGGAAGGATTGGGTTGAGACCGCTTCGCATACCAGGGAACCAAGTGCCATTCAACCAAACTGAAGCTCACTACTCAGAGGCGGAATTCTACACCGAATGCACAGGTAATGAAGAGCTCATAACCATTGTCGATGGGGAAAGGAAGAGACATTCCGAGGTCAACAACCATGCTTACAATCAGCCCAAATGCTCAAAAGTGACGCTGCCGGATGGACGCACGGTGTATCGCTTATGACATGTTTGGGGGCTCAACCGAGTTCTACAGGAAAGCCCCTAGTATAGAGAAGAAGTGATGCAAATGAGCAACCATAAGGACAAGGTACCCATGCCTTGTGCTTTTCAGGAACCTATGACAACGCCCAGGCATATGCAAGATGGCTCGACTGCAGTTGCTGAGCAGCTAGAAACAATTAATTTAAGTGATGACCCCTCTGTCCAAAGGCCCATCTCCATCAGCATTCACTTGGTAAGGGAAGAAAAAGAAGCTTTGGTGTTGCTATTAAAGGAATTCCGAGATGTGTTCGCTTGGAGCTACGACGAAATGTCCGGCCTAAATCCAAACTTAGTAAGCCATACTCTGAATATTGAGCTTTGCACAAAACCTGTCGTGCAGCCAAGAAGGAATTTTCATCCTGAAATTGAAATGCAAATCAAGGTGGAGATTGAAAAGCTATTGGCTGCTGGGTTCATCAAACCAATCAAGCATCCAACGTGGCTAGCAAATATTGTTCCCGTGAAGAAAAAGACTGGTGTAATTAGGATAGGTACGGACTACCGAAATCTCAACCGAGCCTGCCCAAAGGATGAATTCCCACTGCCCAATATGGATGTCTTGATTGACTCAACCTCAGGGCAAGGCTTGCTGTCATTCATGGACGGATTTAGTGGCTATAACCAAATAAAGATGTCTCCTCGAGATGCCGAGAAGACAGCCTTTCGAACACCATATGGGAATTTCTACTACACGGTCATGCCGTTTGGTCTTAAAAATACCGGAGCCACTTACCAAAGGACTATGACAGCTGTGTTCCACAACATGATGGGGAAAGAAGTGGAAGATTATGTGGATGATCTCGTGGTGAAGTCAAAAACCAGAGAAGGCCATCAAGAAGTTTTGAGGAGGGTGCTGGAAAGGTGTCGGCTCTATGGATTGAAGATGAATCCAAAGAAGTGCGCATTTGGGGTTTCATCCGGGTAGTTCTTGGGGTTCCAGGTGCACCAGCGCGGCATAGATGTGGATCCTGAAAAGACTAGAGCTATAAACTCTCTTGCACCACCTAGGAACCCAAAGGAATTGAAGAGTTTCATGGGGAGACTGTCGTACATTTCACGCTTCATCCCGGGCCTCGCTGCCACAATGAGTATTTTTACCCCTTTGCTCAAGAAGGGCAAGCCGTATGTGTGGAGCAGGGAGTGCCAAGAAGCCTATTTGCAAGTGCAACAAATAATCACCAAGCTGCCTACAATGAGAGCACCCATTCCGGGGCTTCCACTCAAACTTTATTTGGCTGCAACGAACGCAACGGTTGGGGCTTTGCTCGCCCAAGATGGTCGTGATGGGGAGGAGAGTCCTATTTATTATGTGAGTAGACAATTAAGAGGGGCTGAGACAAGATACCCGAAGACGGAGCTCTTA